ATTAAGTCAAAATTACTGGTGGTAGGACCTCTTGTGAGTCCGCACGGGTAGGTACCACCACCCTGCCTATTTCTGCCGTGAAGCTGTAATACGTTTCGGTTTGAAGGGTGGGGTAGCCGTTGTAACTATACTTGAGATCTTAGAACTTATATTTCAAGGTGAGCGGCGGCATTTACGTTGTAGATGTATATGGGCTTCAGTAACCACTTAACATCAGGTGGACTGTGAAATCGTCCACCGATATAAGCCATAAAAAATCAAACAAAAGGGTGGAGCTGCCGTTTTACGTTGTTGATATGTATGGACTTTAGTAACCACTTAACACCAGGTGATCCGTGGGATCGTTCAGCTTTGTAAGCGATAAAAAAATAACTAGACGAAATCAAATAAAAAAGGTTGATGCAAACTAATACTAAAAATCATTGATTCACGTTCAATTACCCTTCCATAGTCATCCATCTACTACATTTACTTATTTTTCTTCGATATAAAGGCCTATTGGATTCTATTGTTTTATTGTTTATAACGATTATATCATATTGATATAAATAATATATATATAATTAAATAATTATTTTTTCCTTACACACACATACTCTTCTAATCTCTAAGAGAGCTGCTCATTTGAATTACGTCGAAACATTGCGTTCATTCACGGGCTTCTCCAACAATAACTTTCGCCACGTGCTCACTAATGAGCCACGTGATTACTAATGAGTTCCCTGTCTCGGTTCCCGAGCGGATGCGTGACGACATGTCATTCTTCAAATGCAGCTTGAAAATACTTAGCTTTTAAAGTTTTTTTTATTGCTCAGATGTGTGGACGAGCTCACAGCCCACCTGGTGTTAAGTGGTGACTGGGCCCATAGACATCTACAACGTAAAAGCGCCACCCACCCTGAGATATAAGTTCTAAGTTCTCAGTGTAGTTACAACGACTGCCCCACCCTTCAAACCGAAACGCATTACTGCTTCACGGCAGAAAATGGCAGCGTGGTGGTACCTACCCGTGCGGACTCACAAGAGGTCCTACCACCAGTAATTACGCAAATTATAATTTTGCGGGTTTGATTTTTATTACACGATGTTATTCGTTCACCGTGGAAGTCAATCGTGAACAATCGTAACTGCGCATTAATCAGACTACGTTTGAAAACAGTCACGTCCGTGGTCACGTCAGTGCTCAGGAAGGACCAAGGAGGATTTCGTTCCACACTCGAATGATGCGTGGAAGAAATCGTCCCTGAAAACACATTGTGGATGAGCGCAATGGAACCAAGGTGGAGCGAGGTGAAAGAGCTTAAAAAAATTGGGAATACATCTAAATTCTCCTTATCCTTATTGTGCATAATATGGGAAATCGAAACATTGCCACCAACTACGAGTACTACTTTATCCTTCTGACTAAGAATAAATTAAAGTGCCTATGGTAAATGAAAAAAAAACAAAGCACTGAATTTACGTTTAGTTGTAAAACATAAACAATCGTAGTCATAATAAAAGATTATTGATCGATACTGCCGCTGATATAATTATAGGTCCATGTGGATGTTACTGGAAGCAGATTACTTTCAGAGACATAATTAGATTTCTCGAGGCTTTCAAGCGAAGTGTTGTGGGTGACCGCAGCGTAATGAGAGCGCGTACGATGTAGTAAGGCAATAATCAATTTTGAAATCCTCATGGATCCTTCAGTATTTATGAAATACTATCGACCCGCCCTCGCTTCGCTTCGGAAACATTAAATTTTATTATTGATGAGTCCCGCGATGTTACTCGCGGTTATTTTCGTACCGCGGGTGAGGCTGCGGGGCGATGCTAGTCTAAAAAAAAACCTAAATTACTCCTTATATCATCAGTTACCTATCAGTGAAAGTATCGTCAAAATCAGTCCAGCCGTTCCAGAGATTAGCCGAAACAAACAGACAGATAGACAGACAGACAAAAATTGTAAAAAAAATATATTTTGGTGTATGTACCGTATATATATTCATATGCATGTAGTAAACAGCGGATATTTCAATATTACAAACAGACACTCCAATTTTATTTATATGTATATATATCTCAACCTCTTGACCTGAACCGAAAGGGTACCTTGAATGACTGATAGACGACAGCCGAAGCTTGTGGATTTGAATTAAACTGATTACACTAAGGGTGTTTTAAGATGACGGGAGCAGTTGACATTATGTAAATGTCCTTTATCAAACGAGACTTGTGGAGAGTACTTAACGGTAGGCACCGGCTTGGCTGTGCCGCTGGCATTGCTGAATCGATGGGCGACGGTAACCACTTACCAACCGGTGGGCCGTATGCACGTCTACTTGCAAAGGCACTAAAAAAAGTTATGGGGAAAAGTGCCTACTCACATTCGATGGTATTGAAGAAAAATACTTCTATTCAATGCGAAGGACATGGCATCATTTAGATACGTCATTAAGTTGTTTCAATACTTTCTAAATTTGTTGTTTCAATACTTTCTAAATTTGTCTATCCTGCAAAGAAATCATTTAGATACGTCTGCCTACAAAAGCACTAAAAAAAAGTTAGGGGAAAAAGTGCCTACTCACATTCGATGGTATTGAAGAAAAATACTTCTATTCAATGCGAAGAACATGGCGTCATTTAGATACGTCATTAAATTGTTTCAATACTTTCTAAATTTGTCCAACCTACAAAGAAACTTGATAAAATCTGATTGAAATACAGAAAAAAAAAAGTTGCAGATCTGCTGGCTGGATGAAGGAAAATTCCCTAGCTACTACGTCAACGTCTGAGATGTGACCTAAAATTTAATCAGCATTCCGGCCGTCGGTTGCTACTTTCTTGATTCGTTTAGTATTTAATTTATTATCGCGCTCACGTATTTAATTTAATTATAAAACTTTATATCTACTTGTAACTATACTTGAGACCTTAGAACTTATCTCAAGGTGGGTGGCGCATTTACGTCGTAGATATCTATGGGCTCTAGTAACCACTTAACACCAGGTGGGCTGTGAGCTCGTCCACCCATCAAAGCAATAAAAAAAAATCTGTAGCGCGTAGAAACAAGGAAAAGGTCTACATTTCGCTCGATATTGTTAAAATGCGAGAAATTATGTTGTTTTTATTTATTATTAGTAGCTTAAGTAGGCTTTAATGTGTTTAATGTATCTATTCTATCCCGCTCTGTTATTAAGTATGCTTTGTATAGCACATGTTTTTTTCTTAGTTCAGTCACTACTCTTGCGAATAGTGTTGTTTTCGCCAACGTTAATAAGTTGATAAGCATATAATACCTGATAATTAAAATAATTTTTACGGTTTGTTTTCACGTTTTTTATGTATACCATATAAATATACGATTATAACAAAAGCTAATAGTAGTTTAGTTTTTTCGGCGTTCGCGAGTCGAAGACATATCTGAAACTACTTTTAAGGTTGAATCTCGCGTTACTTGTTGTCATTATACGTTATTTCCGACGTTTGAAATACTATACAGCTTTCGTGGTCATGAACGACTAAAGACTGCAGTAAAATGTAGTAAACTAGAAAATAAAAATGCGAGATTAAACCGTAAAAGTAGACAGAGATTAGGGCCGTGCCGTGTGGAAGTGTTTTGTGTTATGTTTTTTTTATTTTTTTACCATCGCTTCGCCAGCCGCTGCAGTAGAGCCATACTGCCTAGAACCAGTGCGTTCATCCGCAGTGCGTATCCAGATATCGTTCTCACCACGTATCACCCGGCTTTAGAATGAGCTCGACTAGTAAATAATGCCTTAGACATAAAGTCCACCAATGTAAATAAATACATGAAGTGTAATAAATGCAATAAATTAATATGTTTTCATTGTGGCGTTATAGATAGAGTAGTACAATATGTTGAAAACGTTTTAATTATTAAAAATCGATAGCTTAATATGTTGATGAGATTATCCTCTTTAAGGAAACAGACCGTCCAATGAGGTTGTCGATAAACATCTACATAATTTATTCAATTCGATTTTTGACGAACCTCCCTGCCTCACAATTTGTTCAGCTTATAAACAACAAGTGCTGCTAAAGATTATGACAGGCGAATATCATAGAATCCGCCAAAAAAAAATGCTTTACAAAAATGATTGCGATTTTTGCGAGGTTGCGAATTATGTGTTTATTGTCGGCCATCTTTATTTTAATATCAGCTGTGAGTTGTATTAACTGTAAGCCGGTTTTTATTTAATAAGTCAGCATAGTGTAGTAGGCTATACTGTAAGGTTCCCGAAAACGAAAGCGAAGAAAGTCCTACCTATACAGAAACAATATTCACAATGCTCAGCCAAACGTAAATAAATTTAAATATGTATGTACTTATTAAATAAATAAACATATCGTCTTCTCCCATTAAAGCTGTATAATCTTAAAACTTACTAATTTTACAGGAGAGTGTTTTAAAAGTTTAACATGTGATATTTTTATTAATAATCATCTTTGCAACATTTATTTTTATTTTTTTAAAAGTAAGATAAAATTATGTATTAATTTTGTTAATAGTAGTCAAAACAAAACAAAAAACTAAAACTAAAACCAAACTACGCTTTTTGACAGTTTTTATGAGAAAAATACTGTTGATGATACCCAATGATTCCGCATATTAACTCAATTTCGAATATTTTTGGAAATTGTACACTTTTAATGCGAAAAGACGATATATGTGTATAATAAATACTTGTCGATTTAGTAACACTATCTTTTGCGAGTTCGACTGCTGGTCGACACCCCCCGCAGCGTTTCAGTGCGTTGACCCGACGCCAGTTGATTTTTAATCGACTTACATTGCGCGTTATTCAAAAATATTAGTACAATTAATCGTTACCTTCATGATTTTTAAAGTTATCCCATTGAGAATCATCATTACTACTTGTCTTCATAGTTGTTCGTAATCAGTGAAATATTGAAATACGCAGTGATATCGTTTGAGTTTTGATTTTGTTTAGAAAATACTTCAGAGTGTGATTGATTAAAAATAAACTTACGTTATGTCCGATGTCCATCGGCGCTAAGAGCGGTAATTGCCGTCGTCTTGGCTTCCTCCACATCAGAACCACGGCTACAATCAGTAGTACGGTCGTGGCGCCCCCCACAGCTCCTAAAGCAGCGCTCAACGCATTACCATGGTATTCGTCCCAGGCGGGGACCCCACGCGGAGCTGTCATGGCTTCGGGTCTAGCTACCCTTCCTATAGTTGTAGTCTCGAAGTTTTTGTGAATTTCTTCGTAATCGTATTCCCATGGCGTCCCGCCGGGTGCGTGTGGATCTGCCCACGGCTTATCTGTCAGATAACAGAATTAGCTACGTGTAATAGTCACATCGATCCGTTCTCTTGCACGCGTTTTAGATTTGCCGTTACTCATTGTTTTTGCAATTCCCTTTTTTTTGTTGATAAATCGCCTTTATTGTTGAAAATTAACAATATAGTGCACGTACTAATGTTGCTGCTGATAATTTTGATTGATCGAAGGCAATAACAATGAATTAAGCAGAACAAATAAAAAAACACAAGTCTAATAGTTTTTCAATACAGTTAAAATTTAAGAAATTATATATTTCTGAAATTGGACAACCAAAGTCGATCGAGATCGGTTAAAAATCCACAGGTATTTTCATAGTTGATCGGAAGGCGAGCCGGAACTTGAGCATATTGACAGCAAGTAACAGATTAACATTAATATTTTACAACATGAACACAATGACCAATAGGTATAAACTCGTACATACATATTTATATACAGTGTATTGTTTATAACAATAAAAAGTTTTATCGCATGGTAACTAAAGGTTTCTAAGGTAATGCACAAATTTTTTGACATGTTTTTTTTTTAAATCGATCAGTAAATCTATTAAATGTTAATTAAAATGTACTCACCCATCGAGAGAAATAATATTTAAAAAATAAAATCTGCTCTTTTTGATGCTTAGCAGAGACGTGCCTAGGGCGGGAGGGCGCGCGCGACTGGGCGGCGGCGTCGTTTGCCTTATCATTAACGCGACTTGTTTACCCCGACGCTACTTCGTGATCTGAGTCGAGAATTTTGTTACAGTACTAAGGTGTATGTTTGGCTTAGGAGAACGCGGCCAGAGACACATTTCTTCGAACCAAACAAACCGTTAAAACAATAGGAAACTTCGATTGTTTTAAAATAAATTAATTTAACGCAAAGCACCAAATTATCAGTGGATGGTACCTTAGAGACGGTCAAAGAAATATAGGAAGGCGAGGGATGAGCTGGGAGGATGAGGTTAAGTTGACGGCCAGTCCTAACTGGAGGAGGGTTGCTAAAGACAGACAACAATGGAAAATGTTAGAGGCCTTTGTCACTATGAACTATGAAGTACTAAGGTGTATGTTTGGCTTAGAAGAACGCGGCCAGAGACACATTTCATTTAACTAAACAAACCTTTAAAACAATAGGAAACTTCGATTGTTTTAAAATATATACATTAAACGCAAAGCACCAAATTATCACCGGATGGTACCTTAGAGACGGTCAAAGGAATATAGGAAGGCAAGGGATGAGCTGGGAGGATGAGGTTAAGTTGACGGCCAGTCCTAACTGGATGAGGGTTGCTAAAGACAGACAACAATGGAAGATGTTAGAGGCCTTTGTCAAGATTCACACTGAACTGAGAAGTGTTCTGTAAAACGTTCAAAAATTAAATAAACAGTCTTAAAAGTTCAGGATAAACCACTCATTGATTAAGTGATTGATTGAAATTAAATGCAAGATGAAGACGCAGGTATTATAATCATATATTTATTCAAAACTCTAAGCAATATTATTATTCTTGTTTGATGATTGCATGATACCATCACAGTGTGTACTTCTGTCGTGAGGCAAGCCTGAACTGGGGTTCAAAAAGTATAGTTGCAATCGTTACATTACGTCATATGTTATTTCATACAATACATTCAATTCAGAAATTTATCTATCTGCATAATCGTACCGAGAGTCCATCTGTTGATCTACTGGAATAAAATAAAACTTCAATTAACACGCAGTGGTTGATATCATTGACTGCCTATTTCTGCTGCGAATCAATCATGTGTTCCGATTTTAAGAGTCGCATACCCGTTTAACTATACAATTAAAATGTTTTTAGAGGCAATGATCAAGGGGAGATACTTTGAGCGAGCGAAATTGTTTGATAGAAAATGTGAATATTCGAAACATGTAAATAGGCATATTTATCTTGAAACTTGTTAGCGTGATTCAGGAATTTATCAAATATCTTTTGTTTTATGTTAGCTACCATCACAGCCACATTGCTAATCGGGTGCCGGCATTCACATTAAGTAGACGAGATTACGGTCTACCTGATTGTAAGTAGTCAGCGCCGCTCATGCATCAGCAATAGTACAGAAAAGACGCTGGCGTAGGTACCTATCAGTGGGTTCCAGAAATCACTTAATATGAGGTGCAAGTGATACTGATGTTGATTGCATTAAAAAAGTAGGCCTCTAGATGCAATTAGTTCTTAAGCAATTTGAAAGTATAAGAATTCGAAAATGTTTGCATAGAAAAATTTTACGCGATTTTAAGCCCCTCTAAAAAAAGCTTCTCTCTTTTTAACACTTTTTTATAGACTTGACCGTATCTTATACGCAAGCTTTCGATATAACTTTCATCAATTTCAAGATTTAATTTTAATACTTTGGCTTAAAATCCTGAGCAGAATAACTAGAATAAAGTTTACGTTACGTGTTTTTATAACATTTAAATTAAATAACTACACTTTTTAAATTCAAGATCGAATTATAAAAGTCACATATTTATAGCAAATACAAGATAGGAATCGACATTGTCCAGCGAAAAATGAACAAAATGAAACAACCGGACACTCTGTAAAACATCGAACTCGCAAAGATTCCTACAACAATTAGATGTTGTCTTTATTGCGTCGAAGCAATCGCGTGCAAGGCACTGCGCCACATCCATTACTTAACGACACGGAATGCGAAACACGACTAAATCACGGCCATTCGTGATACGACAAACGATTTTCTGTCCTACAATGTTCTTATGACACTAAAAATACGATCTATTTTAGTGTCAATTAGAGATTAGTGTGTTAGATGGGAATTAAAGTGAGTACATTTTTTTTTGTATTGTTTGGATGGGTGGACAAGTTCACGATCAATCTGGTGTTGAGTGGTTAGCGGAAACTATAGAAAATAGACACAGGGTAGTGAGCAAAGTCTCAGTTCGCGAACTATGGAGAACAGCTGTCAAGGCTTTAAGGATTCCACATGACTACGACTGCTCTGCCAAGAGTAACAGACTATGATGAAGTGGTACCTACCAATACGAGCTCACAAAATGCTACCACCAGTAGGTATATATGTTTTTATAAGGATAGATTGGCAAAAAAGGTAACGGATTAAGGTGAGAGTGGTGTGTTCAATGAGAAAGACGCCCGATATACATACCTATACAGGTATGTAACATCCAATGTCACTTATTATGCCGAACTTCAAATTCCGAGATTCCATTTTTTTCTAAATACCCACTTTTGACACAATAGCGTGGTAGCAGAGAAACAAAAATGTTTTTAATAGTTCATTCATTAAAACCATATCAATAATGTACCTACTTACATCATATTTTTTAACAAGAAAAATTAAAAGTACAAACACAAAATTACGTTTTAACAATAAGTAATATTACATTAGATAGAATAAGATTGGCACTGGGCGCGGTGTCTGACCAAGAGACATTATTAGGACTGCCGATGTAGTTTTGGCGTACTACCGTAGCTGTAGCATAATGCAGAACCGGCTGTGTTCACAATCAAATATACTGTTCAAAAAAAGCTATTTGTTTGCAAATGTGCAAATGTTTTGAATCTTTTATCTACCTATCTACCATTGGCCTCGAGGGGCTATTCTGGCTTCAACTTAGTTGGTGGGCGGGCTTACAGGGCTTAGCATCTTCAGCCCTTTGTTACCCATTGCTGGGCATAGTCCTCGCCTTTTTTTATGCCATAATGTTTGAACACCTTCCATTCTCATCTACAACGTCCTAAATATCGTATCGGCCCGGTCGTGCCGATATTCTGGCACCACTACCTCACCTACCAATTTCGACTACCATCAAGTCTCTGTCCGACTCCATCTATTGTCATTTCGTCTGACTAAGTGTCCAGGGCTCTGCCTGGGATAATTTTCGAACATCTGCCCTAACAATAACAGTGCTTTGCTGAATTGACGCCCGGATTGGAACACTCGTATTTTGTATATGCACACCATTTATGCTATGTTCTTTTTATGTATTACACGAGTCAGTTCAGATTGGAAAACAAAAAAAATACGTTAAGTGTACAAAGATGGCTATATCTGCCGCGAAGCCGTTTCGAAGGGTGGGGCAGCCGATATTTAGTACAGTAAAGATTTTGACTTCATGCTTTATGATAGGTCAGCGGCAGTCAGATTTTTTATTGTCCTTGTAAGCAGACGAGCATACGGTCCATCGGATGGTGAGCGTTTCCCATGGACTTCAGCAATGCCAGGCCACTGCCTACTGGAAATTTGTGACATGTATCGATATAACATAAGCGGTTCATTTATACCAATAAAAAATATAGCTATCGCTGTTTATTACGTATAATGTATTAGCTATTAGATGTGGTGCTGGCGGCGCATGTTGCGCATCCCTTGTACGGCTTTCCAGACGAACGCTTCCATCCTCAACGAGCTAAAAGTTGACCAGAGGCTATCCACCAAATGCCTATACAGAGTGCTCAAATATTTTGATCATATAGCAAGAAAACCCTTTGACAACTTGGAGAGACTTATAGTGACAGGTAAATTGGATGAAAGACGATCCAGAGGTCGGAGCAGAAAAAGATGGAGTGACCAAGTGTCCGAGTATCTAGACATGAGACTGAGCCACGCACTTCATTTTGCCACTGACCGACAAAAGTAGCTACAAATTACAAAAAAAGGTTACAGGCGGGCGCATCACTATGTTCAGCAATGAGCGATCGACTGAAGGAGGAGGAGGAGGAGCTATAAGATATAATCAGATTCAATATTGATTTTGCCCTAAAAACTTCATTACGAATCCTCCCGATCCATTAATAGTACTTTTAGGTACCTCAAGCATCGGTCACCGTCCTCGCCGAACCCGTCGCTAGCTACGAAGGGCTCGACGAGTAAATTAATCCATAGACACAGTCCAGGGTTTCTCGCCAGATCTTCTAATAGGCGTTTCAGATCCGGTGGTAGATTCTGCGAAGCACTGCTCTTGCTAGGGAGGGTGTTAACAACACTCCCGGTTTGAGCCCCGTGAGCTCACCTACTAGCTCGATGAATTTAGAATAGCCCCTCGAGGCTACTAGAACAGGGTGGAAAAAACAAAATTTATTCGGTTGCTGTTAAATATTTTAGTGATCAAAAGTTGTAACAGGCTGTAAAAAAATATAAGTATGCCTAGACGGACCATATTCATCAATGGATTCACACTAGGGGCACTGAGGACTACTAGCTAGTCACTGTTACTGTTAGCGAGAAAAGAAAGTGAACAGTGCTTTCAGCTAGACTAAACCTTTTTAATGACCAGTAGTGTCCTCTTTAAGAAAGTATGATTTTTTATTGTCGATTCAAAATATTTTCTCAGTGATAAGTAAATAAAACAATAGTATCATTTAACTATAATATTATTTTTTATTGTTTACCTATAATCTTTATCGTTATGAGGCAAATTTACATGCAATTGTAAAGAAATAACATTTATACTTAATGTAATAGGTCGCCATCTCTGATTAGTTTGTGTACCCATTCGGGTTTGGTTTCAGGATTTTGAATGGCATTTTGATTACTTGAAGTGTCAAGAGATGGCGTTACTACGTAATCACTTTTTTTAATACAAATGACAATGTGCATCTTCATTGTTAACTTAATTCAATCCTTTACTTATTTTTAAATACACTAATTTACACCTTCATACAATATTTACAAAATAATAGCCTCATTCAGATTTCCGCAGGTTTTTTGTG